AGTTCATGGTGGTCAAAATCCAACTTCGCAACATCTTGAATTCCTTAGCAGAGTTGCAATAAGGCATAAGATGGATCGTCATAATTCTGGAATGTATTATGCCGAGGGTGATACTTCCAATTCTGACCTTGATGCAGATCCAAAACCTGAACCTGAAGCCCTAGCTCCCACACCCAAGGCAATTAATGAGAATACTTCTGAAATTAAGGATATCTATGACTTATATGGGAGTATTTAGATTAGTTTATAACTTATTTATTCATTCACTATAACCCAGCTTTACCGCTTTGGACCTGCTTTAGAATAATTAAACTTATTAAATATTTTTTAAGTAAAGTTATATATGCAAACCAACTCCATAGAATTACTTCATATATATTAAGAAAAATAGGTGCCGATCATGCTTTCAGAGTACATGGAGGTAGAAATGATTCCCACCGTCAATATTTACGGCAATTGGCATGTAGACATAAAATAGGTCATGCTTCATCAGTCAAACATTATGGTGTGATGAATGACAGACCAATTGCTCCAATAACTAGATAAAAAAAATACTAAGATATCAGATATTATAGATCTATACAATTACTAACCATGCTTTTTCGCTTTCACTACATTCATAGTGAAATCTTTATCATCATTGCCGGAGATATTTATTTCATAGCTAGACAATTCAAAGTCAGACCAGACGCAGATGAAGAAGAAAATGAGACTCAGATGCAGTATCATTATTGCGAAGCAATGGGGCTTGCCTCTTAAAATTTTCTTTTTTCTTTTAGCCTTGCATGGTGTATGATGTTAAAATTTTTATTCACGATTGCTAGTGAAGATCAAGCGATCCTCTCATACTAAATAATTCGTGAATGAACAAATCGTCAAACCCGAAATTAGTTTATGAAATCTGCAAATTAAATTTTTTAGTTGTGAAAGTATTTATTATAAAAACAAGCTAAGTGTATGATTAATTGCAAATACTTATCTGTCTATAACCCTTAATACATATACTAACCCTTCGATCATAAAAAATTTGAATATGGCTACTAACCCTACACCTCAAAATATTTCATGTCTCGAAACACTTGCATTAAATGTTCTTAAAAATTCATGTCCAGAAAAAATTGCAAACGATATTAATATACTCGAACTAGATCCATGTTTTTTATACAACCAAGAACTTTTTTTATATGAAATAAAAAAGCTGATTACTTTACTTATCTGTGGCCATATATATCATCATGATTGTATCGAAACTTCACATTCAATATGCCCAAAGCCCGATTGCAAAAAGGAGGTAGAATCTACAGTTGACAGCATGCCTGGAAGTCAGAATATTAATGATTTGATGGATATATCCCCATCATTATTTACTGACCCCCTCTTCCCAAGTCCGTCTAAAAAGCATGTTAGTGAATCTATCAGCAAATCATCTAGCAAGAAAGTGAAGGTAAAAAATAAAGATTCATCCATGTTAAAAAAACTTATCAAGAAGTTATCATCACCAAGCTCTTCGAGTACCACCTCTTTGCAAACAGTCACGAGCTCGGGTAATTTTATTAACCTGTACAATGCGCTTATTAAGGCCGAAGAACAAGTGGGGACCACAAATCAGGAAGTTATTAGGAGCTATTTTGCATTTGGAAAAAAACTTGAAGATAGGTTTGAGTATTATAAAAAAAGTAATAGAGACCGTAAGGCTAAGAAAAAACTTATCAATGAGGTCACAGAACAGCTCCCCAACGACCTCTCGAGGAATGCAATCGAGAAAAAACTAGAAAGGGCAAGGAAGATTTACTACCTTTTCAGTAATATTGGATATGAGAAGATACAACTGGTAAAATCTTATTCTGCATTGAGAATTTCTAAATTAAGTTGGGACGAGATCGATGCTATAGAAGAAAAGTTTGAATAGAGATAATCGTCATTTACTGCGCCAAGACACGTGACTTCGCTGACCGACTCGGTCAAGAAATTCATAAATTATTTCGTAATGCATGTATTGTTTATTTATGGGCAGAGCCCAGTGTCTAAGCATAATAAAAAATTTTTTAGCCACGTATAATTATTTTTCTATTAATACAACAATGATAAAAAATCATAACAATACATATACAAATAAAAAAAGACAAAATCACTTTGAAAAGTGGCATATTTTTAGAGGGTGGAATTACGGATGTAAGGTTTGTGACGAATGCGATCATCATTCACATCTATATTATAAGACATGCAAAAAAGTAGCAGAGGGAATATATAAGCGATGTGAATGTGAAAATTTTATAAGAGAATTTTTACATTTAATGCATTGATATTGAATCGCATCTGTCTCACGGAATGAGGATGCACATCTGCTAAACATTGACAATGTAATTTCTTTATATAGTAATGTAACGAATTTTCTATTCTTTAAAAAAGCGATCACAGGTGTGGTATCCGAAAATACTAAAATTTTGATTGGTTACGACATCTCGTACAATTAGTGTCACAATTTGATTTCCAAGATTTATCAAGTTCTATCTCAAATTTAGTTAATTATCTCATGCTACATAACGATAACGATAAAAAATTCATGCATAGAAATCAAATGTATCACAAAGTCGTAATAATGTAACGGTTTAAAGGGGTGAGAATCAGTGTCTTGCAACAAAAATTTTTTTTACTCGTTCTATTTCGAAGTAATTTTTCGAGCATGTCAAGTGTAGATTTCTCAGAATTAAAATATCCAGGTTAGTCTATTATCTTATACCTATTTCCTATTTTTACTTGTTAAAAAAAATTAAGGATACAAACTTTTGCCATTCAGATTACTGGACTCGGGATTTTAACACTTGGGGAATAAACGACTGGGATACTTATTGGATCGAAAAGCAACCGCAATCATTATCTATTACTAAACATAATTCTCATACAGCCTTAGCCGACGAGTTGAGATGTTTGAAAAAAATATATACAAGTACTCATCCTGCTTATAATAAAATCCAAAAATTGCTGAAATATTTGCGGGTATAATTTATAGTAATTTTATTAATTATCGGGTGGTGTCAGTGTACTCTATGGCTAATCCAACAGCCGAGTGTTGAGAAAGTTTTGCCGTGTGTAAAACAAATGAGTAGTGCCGTGTGTACGTGGCCATAGAAACATTGGGCTGAGCCGAGTGTTCAGACAAGAAATGTTTCCTTGAGCTAAACTCATGGGCCGAGTGTCAATGAGGGAGGGCCGAGTGTCCGTGGCTTATTGTGGGCTTCCTTCCCACTCAACGTCTCAAAAAAAGTGTATTTACTAAATCTTTTAGGTTCATTATTAAAATATTTTTTTATGTAGAATAGTACAATGGACGCAACAAACAAAAAAATTTGGGAAACAAGGGATCAAATCACATCATTAAAGATGGAGTCAGAACTGATTGAGCTGGAGTCAGAACTTGACAAGGCAAATGAATTAATATACTTTTTGACCTATTTTAATGACTTTTTCCTTTGACCTTATATTGAACTTACTATTTGCAGAAGAAGGGAAGACAATCTGGTCTCCGGATAGCGAGGCGAGGATTTCAAGTATACGCTGACACGGAGTTTGATTCTGTGGAACAGGAACGAAAGAGAATAAGAGCAAATGAAAATTACGAAGTAGCAGTTAAAAAAGCCTTTCCCATCATCACTTCTCTTTCTAATACTCGAGATCACACCCAAAATGAACAGAGCAGGCAACAAACATTGGGAAATCAAGGAGAACCTTCAAGCGGAATGGTACTCAGAAAAAAAGAGAAGGTTAAATATGCTGAATCCTCAAACTCATCAGATTCTGATGGCTATGTAGAAGTAAGTCATTGGATTTATTTTTTACTTTTTATATGCTTTAATTATAATAATATTTTTTGAATATATCAAGTATAAAAATGCAAGATCAAAACGATATGCCCGTGTTAAATCTGTTTCTCGCGAAATCACGCCGGTCCCAACAACTTATTCAATCAAACACACTTTATTAGCGACACCTAATAAACCCATAATTACGAAATCAACGTATCATCAATATTCTGCACATATAATTTGTGCTTTTAATACAACAATTCACCTTGTCAAGGAAACTCTTGAAGAACAAGCCTACGAAAAGTTAAAAATATGCTCCAAATGGGTAACAAATTGGTTATAAAGGATTCGATAGTCGAAAATCTTGAAAAAATATTTCAAACAGAATATTCTGAAATTGAATCTAAAATAATTTCAGAGACAAAGATTGGGGATAACCAAGCAACGGAAGAGGATCGGTTCATATTCTTTATAAGATATGCATTACTGGACTTTGTCTCAATGTTTAAATATTTAACGCCAAAAGTTTTGGATCGTAATATGCTTGAACGATCTTATATCGTTGAATGTTTGTCACCGATTCTCCGCGCGTTTCGCAATGCATTTCCTGACATAAAATACATGTGGATAGAAAAGGATGTGAGATCAATCAAAGATGCAAATGACATGTTTATGAGCAATATTGGAGAACGAAAGACAGATTTACTCATTCTCAGGTTATCAGACGCAAGAGAACTGTTGAACGTCGAAGTATCTGGGCCTCCGTATAGATCTACAAAAAAGCATTCGGTTGGTGATGTAAAAAAACTATTGATGATGGCTATTTGCAATTTATGTCGGCTTCTTGGCAATAACCTAGATTGTAATATTGAAGACGCAAAAAATGTAAAGACCTATAGTATCCAGGTCATAGGAGATCGTCTCACCCTGTTTACTGTTTCTCTTGCAGACAAAAAAAAATATTTGGCCGTTGAATTGGCCTCATGCATTATTCCATTTACGTTTGACGCCATCTCATGTTATAAGAAAATTTTTAATTTTTTTGCAGTGATCCGAAATGAATTTGTGGAACAGGAAAAATTGCAGAAAAAAATTCGTTCTTTTATTCCAGCTGACAATTGTACTGAAAATTTAAGAGAGTGGTTACATCTCCCGGATGACGACATTTCACTTGTAACAGAAGAAGACATAGATGAAATCTTTATGATTTGAGATTTTATTTATTTTGTATTTTTTTTTGTCATTCGCAAGTGCTTTAAATAAAAAAAGTTGTGTTAAAAATAAGTGGATTAAAATTTGTAACGTATACGTGATAATAATATAAGGTATCATTTATTAGTTTGCTCTTCGAATGCTACTTAGTATCATACATTTACATACCAATAAAGCTGGCCCGGTGGCCCATTTCGCATAAATAATCGCGTTTACTTTTGCATGTATATTTCGTGAATTTATTCTAATGTATTGATATCGATGTATATCAAAAAATAATATGTATCACGGGCTAGTCCCGAACATTTGTATTTATTTTTACATGTATTAATAAAAAATTTTCTTGGCGAAAGTGATCGGCGTGACAATTCGTCACGCATACATGATTTTTATTCACATGAGAAAAAATATCTCGGATTGTCATATCTCCTAATATACCCG